AAATGAGTCAGTGAAGCTCTACGAAAAGATCAATAGCCTCCACTGTCAACCCCTGAAGTCCTGAGAATAATCAGAAGTTTGATGATTACTTGTGATTTAACCAAAAGCCGCAGCTCTGAAGGATGATATTTGCTGATGATTACTAACCTTTGGTATGATTTGATAACTAGTGACAATTTGTACTGTTTTTGTCAAAGTTAGTTTCCATATTTCATTTGCAAAGGTCACTATAACGTCAATGAATTCTAAGCTAAGCTGAAGATCAAAAACTACTGAGAAGTAAATTAAGTTATAGGTCATTATTTTGGATTTACTTAAAAAGGGAGGTCAGCGTCCATATTAACAAGTTATAGAGATACCAGTAAGAACAAACTGATGATTAGAATTAAATTTAGATTTTTGAAGACAATTTACTAAGAATGAAAATAAAATATTGAACATTGAGGTATCTTGATAATTTATAGTCAACATTGAATATAAGTTAACAAAATACACTTGGGCTATTTTGAATGTTGTGTAAGGCATGTATAACGATGAGAATGATGTCACTGTAAAAAACTGTTAGATATTTTAAATTAAAAAAAGAAGATTTGTACTAATTGTGTGTGTGTGGTACCTTATGGACTCTAAATGTTGTTGTTTCTGGATAAAATAATATGAGCGTCTTCAGGGTAGTGTCAGAGAGCTGTGGCTTCTCTTCAGAATCCACTTGAACCTCAAAATTTGCATATTTATCATGAATGTGTATGCAACTTTTAGGAATGTTTAGGATTCGTCCCCTCTGACAAAATGTGCTCCTATGCAGGCTGTAACCGACCAGATGCAGGCTATTCCAGAACCGGAGTTGCAGAATTGCGAGGAGGTGTAGAAGAACCGTCTCCAGCGCTGTGTAGCTTCAGAAGAAAGTTATTTTGGAGATGACAATATAAAATTTTAATTATAATTGGATGGAAAAATAAAAAAATTCAGTCTCATTACTTCATTTACAGACCTCGTATACTATAAGACTTTGCCAAATCACCTTAGGTGAAGGAAGTTATTTTGAGGGTAACTCGTAAAATTGTATTTATATTCAAATAAAAAAATCAAAGAAAAAAATCTCTTAATTTACAGACTTTTTATCGTCCCCTTACAAAACTTGAAATTGGTGATTTTATAAAAATGCAACTTAAAGATTAAACTCGGAAAAAAATCCTACTCTTAAGTAATCAACAATATTTATTAGCTATATACACAGATTTTGATGATGATTTGTGAATCTATACTAGATGACATATAAATCCGAACACCCTGTTTAAATGGTTTTATTTTAATAAAATTTTGTATAAGTACTTAATGAAGCATAATAAGTAAATGATAAAAATTTCAAAATGATTGCACTGCTTTAAAGCCCTTTGACCTTTGACCTTTAATAATGTGTGGATGCACCCTGATGTGCTACGCATTCTCCAACGCGCCTAGGCATGCTTCTGATCAGGTGGTCAATGTCCTCCTGTGGTATCTCATTCCAGGCAACCACCAACTCCTCTCGAAGTGCTTCTAGAGTCTGAGGAGGACGTTGCAAATTGAGCAATCTTCTACCCATCATATCCCACACGTGCTCAATTGGGGATAAGTCGGGAGATCTTGGTGGCCATGGTAACAATGTGACATCATTATGTTGAAAGAAGTCTATTGTGACTCTTGCAACATGTGGTCGGGCATTATCTTGTTGGAAAGTTGGATCTGCCAGGGTGTCAAGATAGGGTAAAAGATGGGGTTCTAGAACTTCGTGGATATAACGCTGCGCGATCATGTTACCTCTGATGAAGATTAAAGGTGACCTGGAACCATAAGCTATAGCACCCCAAACCATAACTCCAACAGTGTGATGAACATGTCTTTCAACAAACAACTGTGGATTCCTCCTTTCACCACGTCGCCTTCTAACCCTGGCACGACCATCGTGCATGCCTAAACAAAATCGAGACTCGTCACTAAAGACAATACTGTTCCATTCCTGATCCCAGAGTGACCGTTGTCTGCACCACTCAAGGCGATTACGTCAGTTGCACTCTAACTGCAATTGCCCGAAAAAAAAGTCCAGTTTCCCGAAGTCCCACTATATGGCCCCTATCAAACTCACTAAGTTGACGAAATCGTACTGGTCTCCGTACTCTAGGCATCGTAACCGATCGTAAAGGATGTCAAGAACCAAAATCCGCCAACGTTGATTCTTTACTGCGGCTGAAATATTCATTTTTAGAGCGTTAGTGAATTAAAAAAAAGCAGTATAAATACCGGAATGTCCAACTGATAAGGCTGAAAATTTTTTCACTTGTTATTTACAGTAAGATCAATACATTCACCAACTTTTATTAAAATAAAACCATTTAAACTGGGTGTTCGGATTTATATGTGACTTAGTATATTAATAAGGTAGGTTATATGTTTTTGCAGAATTTGATGATTTACGTGAGTTGTTGAATATCTGTTCAACAAAATTAAAGTTATCTGTTTGAAGAAGCTAGCAGCTAAGCATTAGAACAAACTAGTTTTAGTAGTTTTTATTCATTTATGGAATAGTCAAATTCAAACTGAAACCGAATATATAACATTTCATAACTAAAAAGCCAATGTACCCAAAAAATAGTTATTTACCTAACAAGTGGCAAGTTGTCAAGGACAGAGAAAACACTTTCCGCAAGTGTTAGGTATAACATTTTTGAATACGTACTATGATTTATTAGAAACTTAGTAATTGTAAAATCGACATTATCAACAAGAACATCAATAATTCATTTATAATAATTATTAACAATATAAAAAGTAAAGGAACAGTTATTTGGATTATGAAAACGTAAAGGTATGTGTGCGGAAAAGTTACGTGTGCGGAAAAGTGCTACTTTCTGCATGCAGATGCGTGTTGAAAGTGAGGACTTTCCTCACGCTTGTAGAAAATAGTTATTTACCTACCAAGGGCTGAAAAAAGTTTCCGCAAGTGTTAGGTATAAGATTTTTTATAATTTAGGATTTCAGATACTATGTTTTATTATAAATTTAATGATTGTAAAATCAACATCATCAACAACATTGATAATGCGTGCGGGAATTTCTTAACTTAAAAGTCAGATTCTCCTAAAAGGGTTTATTTATGCTCGCTAAGGAAGGCTGGAGGATTAATTGCAAATAAACATTAAAGCGTCGTACTTTGCTTTCTTGAGGTAATTTTTTTGTGTACAAAGGCTGTAAATTATTGTTTGTTCCTTGAAGTTAATAATAAAACTACAACCAACCGGCTTACGGATTTCATCTTCTCTTCTAAATATGAATCTTCCAGTCTAGAATTTGATCAAGTGTTACATCGTGGACCAAATATTAATCTCTAGTATTTTATCTTCTGTTGACGTCATACTTGTGTTAACACTGTTCAAAAAACTCTGAATAAGCGGCTAGCAACACTAAAACGCATCTATTGATTCAGGCACACAACTAGATATCTCACACAGACCAAGAAGGTGAAAATGGATAACTTCATAATATCAGTGCAACAACTGGATATCTTTAGATGTCTAGTTAAAGCATGTACATTTTCCTTGTTCTGAGAGCTATATGTTTTTTACCAGTCTGTAAACGTAATTACTTTATTCCTAGGAAATATCCAGTTCTGGCATTGAAAAGGGCATATAAAATAGATTAGATTTAACTAACGGGTGATTTTTTAAGAGGTATAGGAATTGATTTTCCAAAAAAACACAAAAAAATTGAAAAAACGATTATATCTTTATTTGACTCGATAGAACGGTCGATATAATTTAATGTTTAAAGATTATTTCATGTAAATGTTGGCCGCGGCTCCGCTTTAGATGGCCCATGCGCAAGGTCCAATTTTGGCACACTCTCTCCAACATATAGGCCGGTATCTCACGAATAAATGCTTCAATATTGGCTTCCAGTGCGTCAATCGTTACTGGTTTATCCCTGTAGACATTAGCCTTAACATGGCCCCACAAGAAATAGTCCAACGGCGTTAAATCACACGATCTAGGCGGCCAATTGACGGGCCCAAACGTGAGATAAACCGTTCACCGAACTCGCCTCTCAATAGGGCCATTGTTTCATGTGCACCGTATTGTTGAAACCACATGTCAGCCAAGTCCAGCTCTTCCATTTTTTGCAAAAAAAAGTTTGTTATCATCGCACGGTAGCGCTCGCCATTTTCAGTTACGTTCCGTCTTTGAAGAAGTACGGCCCGATGATGCCACCGGCCCATAATCCACACCAAACAGTGATTTTTTCGGGATGCATTGGTAGCTCTTGCAATGCTTCTGGCTGGTTTTCACTCGAGATGCGGCAATTTTGCTTGTTAACGTACCCATTCAACCAGAAATGAGCTTCGTCGCTGAACACAATTTTTCGATAAAAATGTGGATCTTCCTCCAACTTTGCCAGCGCCCATTCACCAAATTGGAAACGTTGTGGGAGGTCGTGTGGCTTCAATTCTTGCACCAGCTCTATCTTATAAGGTTTTTCACCCAAATCCTGTCGCAAAATTTTCCACGTAGTGGAATAACAGAGTCCCAATTGCTGCGAACGGCGGCGATTCGACATTTCACGGTCATCACTAACACTGGCGGATACAGCCGCAATATTTTCTTCAGTCCTCACTCTACGTCTGCGTGTTGGTGGTTTAATGTCCAATAATGCAAACTGGGTTCGAAATTTAGTCACAAGCTTCCGAATAGCTCCCTCAGTAGGCCGACCAAATTGCCCATAAATTGGAAGCAGTGCCCGATGCACGCTCTTAACCGAGCATGAATTTTGATAGTAAAATTCAATAATTTGCAAGCGTTGTTTGTTCGTAAGTCGATTCATGGTTAAATTATAGACCAAACTGAACAAGTTTGACAATGACAGAAGACACGATTCACGCGTCATCTGTCAAAAATAGTGTTGCCAAAAAGATACTAGCAAAAAAATCACCCTAGATAACTCAAAATGACCAAATTATAAGTTGACTAGTTGTTGAACTAAGGGGACGATATAACCTGCATCAAATGGGGTCATGCCCTGCATTTACCAGATTTAACATGAGTACTGATGTACGCCCATGGATTCACCGCTATCGTTGCTTCTTGGATTCCGAATAGGTACCGTATATCTAGCAGTGGCGTCCTCATGGCTTATAGGCGATGTACCCATGCCGCAAGCCCGACCAAAATATCAAACTTTCACTCGTTGACCGCTAGGCAGGCGTCAGTTGATGTAATGCTATCTTTAGTTTTCCACTGTTTCTACCGCAGATTTTGGCGAGTTGCGCTCTCGTGGCTCTCTAGATATCACATGTATTGTGTTCGGATTTTTGATCGAATGTCAATTGTTACGAGAGTCTAGTCTGTCAGGTCGGTAAACGTAAGCGGCTGATTCAAATCCTCGCTTGTGACGGAATTGTTTCATCGGAGGTAAGTTTTTATTTACGATTAAGTTCTTCTTTGATGTAGGTGCTTATATTTTGCAATATTCCTTTAAATTGTGCTACCGTGGCAGCAAAGAGCTGCGAGTCTACAGATGAAACAAATAATAATATCAAACTCACTCTATTTTTCATAAAACTTCAAAGTTATAAGTCTACAGAAAACTAGTATGGGATGAAAATATTTTCAAAATGAGGACTGATAGGTTGTCCGGTTCGCTGCAAGGGTTATTTGGTTATTGCAGAAAATCATTTATCTTTTGCCGAAAAGTACATACATAAGAATTAATATAAAATAGTGGCTAAAACGTGAATGCCTTTGTGTTGATTAACTTCCTGAAAAATGCTCAAGCTTTCCAGCAAAGTAACTGCTGCGACAAATTGGACCTATAGGATGAGATTTCAGTATGGTATTGGCGGATGTCTCCATTACTATAACAGATAATTGTAATATAATATATATACAGGGTGTTTCAGTTTATTGTTGCATAACTTTAAGACTCGATAGAACTTTTAAAATTAATCCATAAAGTCTATATAAACATGGGTCAAAAAATGCGTGGCTTCCGAAATACTACTTTCTAAAATAGTTTTTTTTAAATATTTCGAACAATATTTGATGTATAACAGTGAAAATTGGTATACAAGGGTTTTTTGGTACGACAAAACGAACCATTGGCATAGTTTTACTGTAGCCGCTAGGCGGCGCTCTCTACTGTACCTGTAGTGTATTAAAATGACCTAAAATTTTTTCTTAATGCAATTTTTTGCTTTTTGAAACTGATTCTTCGCACTTTTCTGTATAAGAAAGCTCTCCTGTGAGTTTTCGTTATAGCTAGCGGTTTTTGAGATATTTCGATTTTTAAGGTTCGATGCATTTTTAATTATCTATGGGAAAATAATATTTTTTTTTACATTTTCGATTTGGGCATTACAAGTAATTAAGATGATCGTTTAGATTGTGTTTTTAAACACTGCAATAGTTCCTAGCTCCAAATAAACACAAAAAAACAGAATATTAATTTGTTTAATTTTCCAATATTATTTTTAACAAATTAAATTAATTATTTACAACTAAAATGCTATTGGATAGTTAGAACAAACATACAAAATCTAAAGTAGTTGCTCGAAATGTAAACCCAATTGTTCAAAACACAATTCACATCTACGAATGATCGAACGTGGTATAGCATTATTCAAATAAGGCCTTATTTCATCAAATACATCCCTGATTCTGTCTATGAGCATATCTCTTGTGGTTACGGGAGTCTGGTACACTTTTTCTTTTAGAAATCCCCACACAAAGAAATCTAATGGATTTAGGTCATGGCATCGTGAAGGCCTGGCGACTGGTCCTCCACGGCCGATCCATCTTTCTGGATAATTTTCGTCCAGCCAGTTTCTAACTATTTTTGAATAATGAGCTGGACAACCATCAAGCTGGAACAAGGCCAATCTTCTTAAATCTAACATAACATCATCCCACATATTTGCATGTTCAGCCTTTAATAATTCCAAGAAGGTCGCAGCATTTAACCTTGCAGGCAAAAGGTAGGGTCCAAATAGTCGATTACGGTAGATACCAATCCACACGTTCACACTAAATTCATGCTGAAAATTTCTTTCCCGAACTGCATGCGGATTTTCATGCGACCAAATATGTTGATTATGAAAGTTTACCACTCCACGTCTAGTGAAGCATGACTCATCGGTCCATAAAACGTTACTTAAAAACTCCCTATTATTATCAGTTCTATCAAGAATCCACTGGCAAAATGTGATTCTTCGTTCCCCGTCCCCTGGCTGTAGTCCTTGCACAGGTTGCAAATGGTAAGGACGTCTATGGTCATTTCTAAAAACACGGTGAACATGGCTTGCTGAAATTCCCAAGGCACCAGAACTCAGACTCCTAACACTTGTGGTCGGATCTCTATCAAACTCACGCAGAATCATGCGGGTAAATCTGCGCTGACAAACATTTATGTTTTGATCCCCTTGGAGATTTCAAAAACCATTTTCAATTATTTGGCTATGCACTCTTACAAATACTGAGCGAGTTGGATGTCGTCTGTTTGGAAATCTTCGTGCGTATTCTCTGGCTGCTTCTGCTGCGATTCCATTTACAAAGCCATACACAAAATGAATATCCGCTAACTCTTGATTGTAGAATAAAAATGGCATTTTTATAAAACTTACAAAAAAAAAACAGGTAAAAGAAACTAAATTTCGTGCATTCAGAATTGCAAAAAAAACGTTTCAGGTTTCAACAGACAACAAAACTAACTGTCAACTAATTGACGTTTAACCTTATTCTGCTTCAAATTTCAAAAATATTTGTAGGCACAGCCTACTTCTAAAAATTATCGAGATACTGACTTTTTAACGTTATTTTATCATAAATAATTAAAAATGCTTCGAACCTTAAAAATCGAAATACGAGTATCTCAAAAACGGCTAGCTATAACGAAAACTCACAGAAGAGCTTTTTTTATGTTGAAAAGTGCGAAGAATCATTTTTTTATTCGAAAAGCAAAAAATTGCACTAGGAAAAAAATTTCGATCATTTTAATACACTACAGGTACAGTAGAGAGCGCCCTCTAGCGGCTAAAGTTAAACTATGCCCATGGTTCGTTTTGTCGTACCAAAAAACCCTTGTATACCAATTTTCACTGTTATACATCAAATATTGTTCGAAATATTTAAAAAAAACTATTTTAGAAAGTAAATTTAAACACACTGTATTTCGGAAGCCATGCATTTTTCGACCCATGTTTATATAGACTTCATGCATTAATTTTAAAAGTTCGATCGAATCTTAAAGTTATGCATCAATAAACTGAAACACCCTGTATATAATATAATAATAATGCAAAAATTGTAAAACATGCCGCACCCTACAGGGTGAATCATACCCACATGATAACATAAGCACCAATTTTTTTAATGCCACTTTAGAGGAAGAAGTTTTTGATATAGCGTATAACGATATAGCAAATTATACTAATTCCGAGAAATAACTGTTCTTTGTCGATATTTATTCGTCGTTTTTCTACAATTACTCAAAATTTTATCGACTGGTCAAAAATAGTTTTATACAATATGAAGTGTACAGGGGATAAAGATGGATATAGCAAAAAGTGAGTTTCTCGATATACAGGGTGGGTCAAAGACTCTGATGGAGTATCATACTTATTAGGAATTGAAAAAGGTTAAATTATAAATATTTTTTTTTCATATATAGGGTAGCCCAAAAGTGAAGGCAGACCAACCACCTTTTGATTGAAAACCCTTTTTATTTTTGTGTTTTGAGATTCTCCATATGATTGTAAACATTTTTTATGTGTGAGTATCCGTGCCTGAATTCAATTTTTTTTGAAATGCTGAGGTTAGAAATGTGCCTTGTAAAATCGAAGGGCTGATTAACCAGCAAAATGCATATCTTAGTTTTTACGATCTGTTCTAATATGAGAACAACCTCAACAGGAAATTTATTTTTACATGAGAAAAAGGTGATTTTCTAACCTCAATAGCTCAAACGCAGAATCACTTCCAAGTATTTTTTTAATTGACACAAGAAAAAACAATGAACCAAAAAGCTTTATTCAAAAGAAGATAGAACAAAGAAAACAGAACTAGCGATAACTGCTTAAAAATGATTAATTAACGTGTATTTCTTTCGTCGCAGATTGGTGTATGGTATATTGTTGTATTACTAATCTCGGCGACGATCAGTGGACGTTCATCTTTTTCTTTCATACAACGGCTGTGACATTCATCTTTTTTCCCTGTACCTTTCATATATAGAACGATATGTACCTAGTTGGTTCTAGAGTGATCTGAAAAACATATTTGTTATTATTTTCAAAATTGTGATCTCCAATACGGTAAGAGACACGGATCGGTTGAATGGTGGCAAAGTTGATATATGTACGAGTATATGTTACAGAAAATGCATCGATAAAGAGCCTAAAGAAAAGAGTAGGGCGATGGATTTGTTTAGGGGTGACGCAATGCATACATCTTCTCCCTCGCTCTATACTTTTCAATTGTCAATGTCAACTCCCTCTTTTCAATTGTCATTCTCCGAAGCACTGATGCAGCAGACGACGCGGGGACGTAGAAATTGAAGAGCCCGCGAGGGGGAGGTGCTTTTCAAATTTCAATTGTCGATACACTCCCGCTCTTCAATATCGTCATAGGAGCATTCGTTCTCAAGAAGCAGCATACGCCACCGCTCCCCCTCCTGCTCTTTATTTTTCATATTTGAAGAAAGTTATAAAATTGATCCTCCAATTAGGCGAAATAGGTTTAAAAACCTATGGTCTAGAGCTACCGGTAGTAGCTCGCAAAGGCAATTCTGGTGGCTCACAACATATTTTAAAAATGTGTAAAAGTCATAGAAGCTTCCGTAAATTTTGTAAATTCTCATAACAAACACAAGCAGCGGCAACACTGCGGTGAGCGATCTGTTCGAGAACGATCTCGACTACTTTGAACGGAATAAATACGCAAGGCGCGGCGACAGTGCGCTCAGTTTAAAACTGAACGGCATAAGGTCCAGCGGTTGGGTTAGAGTTGGCCTGCAATTAAAAACATTATGAGCAACAGTAAGAAGATGAAGACATATCATTTCCATTCGGAATAGGAAGAACAATATTTCTTTACAGAAGTTAAAGGTAAAAATGTATGTTTGCTATGCAATTCATCTGTTTGATTGCTAAAAAAGGGAACATCGAGAGGCAATCTAAATCCGTACATTTGAATTTTGAAAAATCATTCCCATTACGTTCTGCAAAATCTGCAACAATTAAAAAATCAGTTAATTGGACAACAGACAATGTTATTAAAAACAATCGACAAAAGTAAGGCTGCAACTGAATCATCATACCGAATGTCCCAGATAATTACACAAGAGAAGAAACATTATGAAGGCAGGGAAATGATAAAACAGGCGTTTTCACAAGCTGCAGATTCATTATTTGCCAACT